CCCACCCATGCTTTGTTTGGCTTGATGAGGAAAAGTTGGTCTATCTTTGAGTGAGTTTTGATCTATCTATTAGATTTTCAGAAACATGGGCCATATCTTCAATCTACTAAAAGATTGTGGTAATTGTTTCTCTAGAAGTTTGTCTAAGAAGAATAGCACCGGATGTTTGAAACACACTAATACGCTTGTTTCAGGAAAGAAAGAACATGCACCTAAAACATATAATTATGAGAAAGATTGTAAGCAGTGGTGGCAAAATAGATTTTAAAAAAAAAAGTTATTCATCCATATTATCCACTAAAAATGGGTTGGATAATGAACTTTTTATAAACGGGTCAAATATGAATAAAAACCATATTATCTACTTAGAAAATGGATAACCAATGAGTTTAACTTTGGGAAACTACTAGTTATGTCAGTTTATAAATAGTTTATTATAAAAACTGGACAAATCATAAAATATTACTAATATTAGCCAATTAGCTATTTGTAATCCAGAAAAAGGTTAAATTTTTGCTTTCTTTTGATTGGATGTTATTAAATAGATTGTGTACATCTTAAAGAGCTTGAATCTCAGTTTTAGGATGATTTGGGGTAGTTTAGAGGTGGTCTGAATTGAAAATTTGAAGTAGGAGATGAACATAAAAAAATAATATGTGTATCACATTGGGTATCATTTGTGTATCACATATATATCATATTTGTATCCAATGTGTATCAATGTATTCGATGTATACCTGTGTGTGAGATACATGTGTCGCAGAAGCATTATTTGAATTCGATTTTAACTACTAATTTTGATACCAAATCACCTTCAATCTTCCTCAAATTTGTATATTGACTCATTTATATGTTCTCAATGAATTTTAACTATACCCATTGAAAAAAGTCCTTTTTTTGCTTAGATTTTTGGAATCTTGTATCTATGTTTTTTTTGTATTTCGTTGTCTTATTTGCTATCTCATCCATAAATTTTCTTTTCGTCTTGCATCTAATGTTGCTAATCACGCTTAAACATATGGAATGGGATCTTTGCATGTGGTTCTTGGAGAAAAAGAACCTTATTTATTTGGGTTTTCAATTTTTATGTGTTTGGCTAATTTTGGTAAGTCTATGATTAATGGCTAGAGGTTGATAAGTTGGGACTTATTTGGGATAATTTTGTAAGATTCCTTTTAACTTTTACATTTGTAAAGATTCAAACTGGAGACTTCTCAAGTTTGGGAGACTAGGAACTCTCCCAAAAATGATCAAACTCAAGAAGTTATGGATAATATGGATATCCATATTATGTGCCGAATAACCCATTTTCTATCCGTATTAAATAGGGGTCGGATCGGATAATCTATCCATTTTTGTATTACCCATTTTCGACCCGCCCATATCCGACTTGACCTCCCCATTTGTCGCTCCTAATTGTAACTAAATAAATAAAAGTTTTATTGTTTGTCAAATACTCTTCCGAGAACTTTCCTTATCTGTTGCTTTAGTTATTTTAAAATAAAATAAAAAGGTCTAAAACATGTCACTTTAGAACCAAGGTGTTAGTTATTTTATTTTCAATTCCACTCGTATAAATCTATAATAATACGGTATATAGTCATTAATTACTCATTTAAGCAAGAGATAAGGGTAATCTAGCAAAATATTCTTTATGATCAACGCTTAAAAAGTATTTTTTTTAATGAGTGTGCCAATAACTTAAATGGTTTAAAAAAGGACAAGAGAGAATACCAAAATATCAAAAGCAAACCAAATGCCATGATGCGCTTCATTTTAGGCCTCTCCAATTTTAAAGGAACTCTTAAGAAAAATATAACCAAGTTCTTTGGGAGGCATTATACGGTTATAATTGAAGAAATCGATCAAATTTTGGTTTTTTGGTTCGATTTTAGTCTAAGGATGTGTTTGATAGGAAGGAAAATATTATTCATAAAAATATATTTATTTTTTTGAAAAAATAAGTAGTTTTATTACTTATTTTCTGGTATTCGGTTAGCAAGCAGAAAAAATGTTATCCTAAGAGTATTTATATATAATATATGCAAATATTAAGGAAACATGTGATTGGGGAGGGGAATGAGAGTTCGGGGTTCAGAGTTTTAAGTCAGGGGTCAAGGTTGGAGGTGTATGTTAGGGGTCGAGGTCGGGGGTCGGAGGGTCGGGATTCAGGGTTTGAAGTCGGGAGTCATGGATTGGGGTCGGAGTTAGGGGTTAGAGGTAAGGGGTTGCAATCCGGGTTGAGGGAAGTGGACGAGGGTCAGAGTCTGAGGTCAGGGATCGAGGGGTTAGGGTTCGATGATGGAAGTTGAGGTCCAAGGTCATGGTTTAGGGTTCGAGATTGGTGATCCAAGGCCCAAAGCCCGGGGGAAGATAGTAGCGAGAATTGACAAATTAGGATGAGGGGATGGTCCGAGGGTGAGGGATGGTGGGTGGGAAAAGTGATGCTGAGGGTGAGTAAGGGAGGGTCGTGGTGGCATGATGGGTTTGTGGGTAGGGTGGTAAGGGTTGAAGTAGAGTTCGAAAAATATTTTCGCTCATCTTGGCAGGGAAAATATTTTCACAAACATTTAAGCTAACACAATTAGTGGTGGATTCAGGATTTTAAGGTCGTGGGTGCTCACTTCCTTTAATATAAAGTTGTTATCGACTATATAGTATAGGAGCACAAGCACAACTATTTAAACGCAACAGAGAAAAAAAATCAAAAAAGACTTCTAGTCACAAGTCAAGTGGGAATCAAACTTGCGCCTCTAGCTTCAAACACGCCTTTAATTCAAACTCAACACCACAACACCCATTAATCTTTTTTGTTCCTGGGTGCTTGCTAGGATTTTATACCAGTTTTCTTATATTTTTTTTATATAATTAGACACGGTTTATTTGGAGGTCAATAGGTGCCAAAATACCTAAAATTAGTGCAGAGATTCCTACTGAATACAACACAAAAGAATTAGAGAAAATATTTTTCTCCATACCAAACACACCCTCAATCAGCTACCTATATATTACTTCTTCTGTTGAAGCTATAAGTCAATGATGACATGACTGACTCGCATAAGATTTCTTTGTTTCACTCCTATTTAAACTCTTATTCCTCACAACCTTTTCCTCATTGCAATTTGCATATTATGATCAATACACACTTGTAAAGCAGAATTAAACAATATCTAACATACACTACCGCTGCTATTATCATATTTGTTTCTAAGACCCAAATTCTTATAACAATTGGTTATAATGATCAGAATGCCAATTGATGGCTCTCATTTTTATATGTTCAATTTCTGGTTGAGTTTCAACTTTGTTGTTCTTACACCAAATTATTTATAGCCCTATATTTTTCATGTAAGTTTGCATGTTGTCGAACTTGTTGTTGATTCTCAGATCCAATAAGCTACTATCCATGTTATCCACCAAAATTTGTTCTTGATTCTGCAGAGCCATGACGCATTATTCACTCCTACCACTACATGGCTACAGACTTTATAGCCAGATTGTCATATGAGCAAGTGAAAGAAATGGAGAAGAATAATAATTTTATCTCATTAAGGCTACAAAAAGTCCTGGCCTTGCATAAAACGCATACCCCTAATTTTGTAAGGGTTGTTCAGAACATAGGATTTTAGCAAGAATTTAGTTATGGGAAGAATATCATTATTAAGGTTCTAGACACTAAAATTAGACCAGGACACTCATCTTTTCGACAATGATAATAACATGTCACCTCCCTAGACTAATGGCAAGGTAAATGTCAGTTCATAAGAAATTTTCACTCTTTTCCCTCTAGTTTTATTTACACTTTATTTTTTTTTAAATTTTATTATAAGCATTTAGAAATTCATTATTCTTTGCCAACAATGGTTAATAAATGATGAGGGATGCACGCATATTGCACATCTAATTTCTAAAATATGTGTGTTGATAAACAATATTATTTTTTACAAAGTGGGTAATGATTAAGATGCACATGTTAGACGTACCTTTAGACAAGATATTATATGTTCAATTGCTTTCTGGTTGAGTTTCAATCTCGTTGTTGCTACAACAAATTATTTATAGACCTATATTTTCCATGTAAGTTTGCATGTTGTCGAACTTCTTGTTGATTCATCTGATCCAGTAAGCTACTATCCATGTTATCTACCAAAATTTGTTCTTGATTCTCCAGTGCCATGACGCATTATTCACTCCTACCACCAGATGGCTACATGCTTTGTAGCCAGATTGCCATATGAGCAAGTGAAAGAAATGGAGAAGAATGATGGTTTTATCTTAGTAAGGCTACCAAAAATTTTGGCCTTGCATACAAAACATACCCTAATTATGTAGGTACAACAACCCGACCATTTTATGAGTTATCACTCTGTTTTCCCCATTTCTACTTCTTATTACCTTGTTCAGCTGTATTTTGTGTCACCGGGTTGGTTGATTCGGGTTCGGAGAGGTTTTGATAAGGTTCAAGACACTTAGTCTCTTTTGAGGAAGCTTAAGTTAGAA